AAGAAAACCGCCACCAATAGCGGCTAACCCACCGCTGCAATCCATTCAGGTTTCGCGCACAAACGAATTGGTTGCGTTAGACATCTTGGGGCCCTTTCCCACTACACCTCGGGGAAATAAGTTCCTGCTGGTTGGCGTGGAGTACTTCACCCGCTGGCCCATGGCATGGCCACTCGCCAACCAGTCGGCTGCGGCAGTGGCGGACGCCTTTGTCCAAGGTTATGTTTTGGACAAAGGCGCCCCCGAACGCTTGCTGACGGACCAAGGAAAAAAATTTTCGAGCGTTTTATTGCGCGAGGTGTGCGACCTGTTGGGTACAAAGAAAGTACGTACCTCCCCGTACCACCTGCAGACTGACGGTATGGTTGAACGTCTGAACAGGACGATTACGTCTATGCTGTGCCAACAGGTCTGCGACGACCAGGTGGATTGGGACTTACAGGTACCGGGGGTACTAGCGGCCTATCGAATGGCCCCTCATGCGGCGACGGGGTTTTCTCCATTTTTTCTTATGTATGGGCGGGAGGCCGATCCGGCCATGGACGTCCAACTGGGGATTTCCCAGCCACGGGCCAAATCTAAATTGGCAGACTACATCAAGTTTAATATCGCCAAATTGGCTGAAGCGCGAGAGGCTGCGAGATTGAATTCGCGGTCTCGGCAGATCGCGAACGAGCGATTGCATGGACGGAGGGTGCATACGCACAATTGGGAACCAGGCGATAAGGCCTGGCTGCATTGTCCACATGCACCGTTGGCTACGTCCCCCAAATTGTTGAGACCATGGAGGGGACCGGTGGAAATTGTGCGGGTTGCACGACCCCAGAGTATACAGATTAAATGGGGAAAACGCCGTTGGTACGTGCACCCCTCCCGACTGAAACCCTACGCGGCGCCGCGTGACCCCGTTTTGTGCCGTAACGACCGAGCGTGTGATGTGACCGTCGACTCGGGGAGGGATGTGTCGCAGGCTGATCCTCACGTGTCTCCACCTGACCCACCCCCAGGTGTCTCGGACCTGACGGCTGTTGACCGTCGGGAACCGGAACCCCGCGGCACGCGCGGAGCCCCGATGCCTGGCCCATGCCTTCCTGAACTGCCGGCACCACCGGACGGTCAACCGCGTCTGGTGCCGTACGACGGACCGGCAAGGCGGACTCGGGCTAGGACACAACACTTTTCATGAAAAAATATATTTTTTTCAAACCCGCCCTCGCCGCCGTGTCCCCCCTCTGCCGGGGTAATGTCCCGTTCAAGGGACGCTCGGAAAGATTGGGACGCTGCACGAGTCGGAAAGAAAAGTAGAAATTTTTTTTTTTTTTTTTGCATACACATTTATTGTTGCCACTCGCCGGATTGTACAAATTGTTCTTGCTGTTGTAGTGGCATTTGATGATTTTTGCGGATTGCGGTGTTCGTGTTGTGTTGTGTTGTTATGTTGTTGTTGTTGTGTTACGGGGCACACATGGGGGGGAGGGGGTGTTGTATATTTTTTATAGCAGCCGGGTCGGCTGCGAGCTATGTGGTAGGGAGTGATGTAGTGGTGGTGTTGACGTGCGCCGACAGTGATGGATCACGGGGCGCGGGGTTGGGCACGCGATGTGGGCGTGGTATGGACGCGCGCGCCGGTGGTGAGGCGCGCTGACACAAGGTGGGAAAAGAGGATCGTAGCCAGCACGCAGTGATTGGTCAAATAGGATGGGTGCTCTCAGCGACGTCCGCAGGAGGTGCATAAAGGGGGACGCGCGAGAGCACTCGAGGTCGTTGTTAACCAGTTGAAGACCGAAGACGGGGTGGAGGAGGTAGTGGCCCGAGACCCCTAGTCCCGCCGTCCTTGTCAGGGCCGGGGCCCTGTGTGGCTCGGAGCCGAGACTGTGGGACCCGTAGTCCGACACCCGTGTGGGTCGGGACGGTGGTACCCAGAGCCGAGACGGACACCCCGGCCGGGTGTGTTCCGGAAGGCTACGGGCGTAAGAGCCCGTGTCAGTGTAGCTGAGTGGGTGTTAGTCACCCGAGTAGCTAAGTGGGTGTTAGTCACCCGAGTAGCTAAGTGGGTGTTAGTCACCCGTGTAGCTGAGGGGGTGCTAGTCACCCGAGTAGCTAAGTGGGTGTTAGTCACCCGTGTAACTGAGTGGGTGTTAGTCACCCGTGTAACTATAAGTTGGTGAAATAAAGAGTGTGCTACCCGTGAAGTCGTCTCCCGCCGAGTTACTACTTTACACCAACATTGCTGCTGTACGAACACTGGAACTAACACTACCCCCACTACCAACATTGCTGCTGTACTAACACTGGAACTAACACTACCCCCAGTACCAACATTGCTCCTGTACTAACACTGGAACTTACAGTATCCACCGCGGCAACGTTGCTCCTGTTCTAACACTGGAACTAACACTTCCCCCAGTACCAACATTGCTCCTGTACTAATACTGGAACTAACACTACTCACAGCGCCAATGTTGCTCCTGTACTAACACTGGAACTAACACTACCCACAGCACCTACATTGCTCCTGTACTAACACTGGGACTAACACCACCCACAACGCCAACGTTGCTCCTGTACTAACACTGGAACTAACACTACTCACAGCGCCAATGTTGCTCCTGTACTAACACTGGAACTAACACTACCCACAGCACCTACATTGCTCCTGTACTAACACTGGGACTAACACCACCCACAACGCCAACGTTGCTCCTGTACTAACACTGGAACTAACACTACCCCCAGTACCAACATTGCTCCTGTACTAATTCTGGAACTAACACTACCCACAGCGCCAACGTTGCTGCTGTACTAACACTGGAACTAACACCACCCACAGCGCCGACATTGCTCCTGTACTAACACTGGAACTAACACTACCCACAGTGCCAACATTGCTCCTGTACTAACACTGCGACTAACACCACCCACAGCGCCAACATTGCTCCTGTACTAACACTGGAACTAACACTACCCACAGTGCTAACATTGCTCCTGTACTATCACTGGAACTAACACTATCCACAGTGCCAACGTTTCTCCTGTACTAACACTGGAACTAACACTACCCACAGCGCCAACGTTACTCCTTTACTAACACTGCGACTAACACTACCCACAGCGCCAACGTTACTCCTGTACTAACACTGGTACTAATTCTACGTACAGTCCTAAGACTGATACTAACTCTACTCACAGTACTCGCACTGGTACTAACTGTAACCACAGTACCAACACTCCGACTAACACTGGTAATAACTCTAATGACAGTACTAACACTAATCCTTAAACTGGTACTAACTCTACTTACAGTACGAAAACTGCTACTAACATTGGTACTAACTCTACCCATAGTACTAACACTGCTATTAACACTGGTACTAACACTACCCACATAACCAACATTGCTACTGTAGGAACACTGGTACTAACACTACCCACAGTACCAACACTGCTACTAACTGGTACTAACACTACCCACAGAACCAACATTGCTACTGTAGGAATATTGGTACTAACACTACCCACAGTACCAACACTGCTATTAACACTGGTGCTAACTCTCCTCACAGTTCCAACACTGGTACTAACTCTACATACAGTACTAACACTGGTTATAACTGTACCCATAGTACCAAACACTGGTACTAAAACTGGTACTAACTCTACTCACAGCACCAACACTGCTAACACTGGTACTAACTCTACCCACAGTTCCAACATTGCTACTGTACAAACACTGGTACTAACACTACCTACAGTACCAACACTGCTAATAAAATTGGTACTAACTCTACTCACAGTCCCAACACCGGTATTTAATATACATAAGTCATAACACTGATACTAACTCTACCCACAGTACAAACACTGGTTTAACTGTACCCACACTACCAACACTGCGACTAACACTGATAATAACTCGACTCACAGTACTAACACTGCTCCTAAAACTGTTACTAACTCCACCGACTGTACAAAAACTGCTACTAAAACTGGTGCTAACTCTACCGACAATCCTAACACTGGTACTAACACTACCCACAGGACCAACACTGCTACTAACACTGGTACTCACACTACCCACATTACAAACAATGCTACTAACACTGGTAATAACTCTACTCACAGTACTAACACTGCTCCTAAAACTGGTATTAACTCTACCCAGAGTACAAAAACTGCTACTAACACTGGTACTAACTCTACTCACAGTACAAACACTGCTCCTAACTCTACCCACAGTCCGAACACTGGCACTAACACTGGTACTAACTTTACCGACAGTCCTAACACTGGCAATAACACTACCCACAGTGCCAACACTGCTACGAACACTGGTACTAACTCTACCCACAGTCCTAACACTGGTACTAACACTGGTACTAACTTTACCCACAGTCCTAACACTGGTACTAACACTGGTACTAACTCTACCCACAGTCATAACAGTGGTACTAACTCTACCCACAGTACTGGGATTCAGTTGAGTGGTGGAGGTGGTGGGAGCGATTCGTATTTGGTTCAGGTGAGTGGGGGTCCGTGTTGGGGTTCAGATGATTGGGGGTCCGTGTTGGGGTTTAGATGAGTGGGGGTCCGTGTTGGGGGTTAGATGAGTGGGGGTCCGTGTTGGGGCTTAGATGAGTGGGGGTCCGTGTTGGGGTTCAGGCGAGTGGGGGTCCGTGTTGGGGTTTAAATGATTGGAGGTCCGTGTTGGGGTTTAGTTGAGTGGGGGTCCGTGTTGGGATTCAGATGATTGGGGGTCCGTGTTAGGGTTCAGGCGAGTGGGGGTCCCTATTTAGGGAGTGAAGTGAGTGGTGTTCCAGGACCCCGTGTTTTAAGATTTGGAGAAGGGGGGGGGAGGAGGGTGCCACTGCCCGGTCCCTCCTCTTCACACGGGGGTTCAGAGAGTGAGGCGAGGGGACACGCAGGAGAGAGGGAGGGAGGGAGGAGGAGGGGGCCTGAAGGGGCCATTCCCCAGCGATGACTTGGGAGACAGAAATAGCGGCGCGGCCGCCACTGCGCACGCGTCCCGCTGCTGGTGTCGCGTTCCCTCGGCGCCTCCAGTCGCGGCACCCAGATCAGGGGACCCCACCAGGGACCCTTCCGTCTCGCCCGCACCAGCTCCCCGCGGTGAGTGAGTGAGTGAGTTCGCGCTCTCCCCGGGTACCCGCGGCGACCCACGGGGACTCCCCGGAGCCGCGTCAGAGACGGGGCCGATCGGGGGTCGCGGAGAGCCCAGGGGCGTGGGGGTTCTTGTGGGAGAGAGGGCGACTCGGGGTATTTTTAGGCGCCAGCTGGCGAGATGCAGCTCCCGTGACTGCGACGGGGCCCGGGGCCCCTCAAGTCTCCACTGGGGTCCCTGAGCCGATCCCTACCGTAGGGACCACGGGGGCCGTGATCAGAAGTCCACGTCCATGTGTCCACTCGCCTGGAGGACCCGGGGAGCGGGGGTCCCTGGGTCCCTGGAGGACGCAGGCGACCTCTTCCCCGGTGTGCCCCCGCCGTCGCGATGATTGCGTTTTACGTGGAGCTGCGACGAGAACGGCTGTCGAGGAACGGACTGAGTGGAGTGGCGACCCTGGCAGACACTCTCGGGGCCCCTTGATAGGGTCAACCACTGCCCTGCGGGGTTCGGGGGTGACGGCGGGAGGGGTCCGGGGCAAGGCCCGGCCCCGGGGCCCCCTCCCTGGACCCCTGCACGAGGTCAGCGACGCCAACATTCCATGACGCACGGAGCTGTTTACGAGGCCCGTGGCCCTCCGTGCGCCCGCACCTGCAGCTGCTGCTCGCAATCCCGAACCTCATCTCTCACTCATTCTCAACTCTCTCATCATCCAGCTCCTCCTGAACGCTTTTCTCATCCTCATCTCAGTTCTACACTCATGCTCATCGTCCTGATTCCACCCCTCATCCCATTCCCTTTTATCCTCCTCATCCTTCTCCCACTCAACTCTCTCCTTATCCCACACCTCCTCAACCCTCTCTCCTTGCCGTCACCATAACTCCTACCGTTCTACCTTCTCCGCAGCAGGATCACCAGCAATCATCATCACCATTACCAGCAGCAGCAGCGATGACGTCCCGCTCTCGGAACGGGCCCGGAGCCCCGGGTCAGGGTACCCGCTACACGCCGCACACGCCCAAGAAGAGCTCGTCCCGGGAGCTCAACCCATACCTCTCCGACGTGCGGCCAGAGAACCGGTAAGGGGGGGTCACGCACCAAGGGTTAGGGTAGAAACCTCGACCCCTGCCATTGTGCTCCGTGTACCCCCTTGGCCTGTGTCCCCTTGCCCCCGATCCTGGATCAGCTGATATAGTGCGAGGGATGTTGGGGGGGGCGGGGGGGGGCGTCCCTTGTGACCACATCCCCATAACCCCTTGTCCTGTGCTCCATGTCCTGTGCTCCATGTCCTGTGCTCCATGTCCTGTGCTCCATGCCCCCCTGCCCCTTGCCCTATTTCATTCTGCCTCTTACCATCTAACCTTGTCCTTAGCCCGTGCCCTTGCCACCACACCCCGTTGGCTTGTACTCTCATTGCCTCATGCCCTCTGTGCTATCCTCGTGCCTGTGACCATCTCCCCGTGGCCCCTGTCCAGGCACACCCTGTGCACCATCATGTCGCAGCTGGCGGAGGAGTCATCTCCGATGTTTGCCGTGACCCCAAGGTCGCGCGCCGTGAGCGAGGATACCGACGTGCGCTTCACGTGCACCGTGAGCGGTAGCGCGCACACCCACACACACACCTACACACACACACCTACACACACACCTACACACACACACCCACACACACACCTACACACACACCTACACACACACACCTACACACACACACCCACACAACAACAACAACAACAACAACCGCCATTCGCCACTAAGTGGCGGTGACGTCACCACGATGCTTGTGCCAGGCCAAGTGCACCTTGAGGCCACGTGAAGTGTCGAAAGCCCGCTGGCAGGAGGTCACGCTTTCTATGACCTCCTGTCACAGGTGCTGGCTAAAGTGGCCACTCGGGACAGAGTCATCTTGTTGGGTGACTTCAATGCCCGAGTTGGTCATGATGCTGACACCTGGTCTGGAGTGATTGGAAGGCATGGGCCAGATCAGCTCAATAATAACGGTAGGAGGCTGCTAGATTTTTGTGCAGCCCATGGGCTTGTGATTGGGCATGCGGGCTACATGGCCGAGCCAACGCAGCCTTGCCTGCCGGAGGTGCTCACCGATGGGACTTTGTCCAGATTTTTCGAGGATTTGTGAGCTCCTCACACAATCCAGCCTGGTAAAACCCAGGATTGATCGTAGGCAGGCCAGCCTAAATGTTTCTAACCGGCGGAGATGTTCCATTTAGGGGGGTCCACGTTTTGTGGACCCGCCTACACACACAGGTACACACACACAGGCACACGTCCACATTGCCACACACCCACACACCTACACATACAGGCACACGTCCACACACACACAGGAACACGTCCTCATAAACACACCCACATATCTACACACACACTCATATACAACAACAGCCGCCATTCACCACCAAGTGGTGGTGATGTCACCACGGCACTTAAACCAGGCCAGTTGCACTCCGAGGACACGTGAAGTGTCAAAGGCTCGCTAACAGGTCACGGGACAGACCCAGGTGCCATGGGTTTGGGGCCGTCCATAAATTACGTCACGCGATTTTGACCGATTTTTGACCCCAATCTCCCCCCCTCGTCACACGGTGTCACACAAAGTCAAATAGTTAATAATGCAAATTTATCAAAATTAGTGTTGTTATAACAATTATATTTAATTCATATTTATTTAAAGTTGCGCATTTTGATGTGACGTCATATTTCTCAAACCCCCCCTCCTCCCTCGTCACACATCGTCACAAATGTCTGACCCCCCTCCTGCGTGACGTCATTTATGGACGGCCCCTTTACTGAGATGATTGGCAGATGCACCACCCGTGCCAATTTGCTGCAATTTGGTCGCCCGGCGCTGCGCCCTGCGTTGTTGTGTCGCTTTGCTGTCCTCCATTGTTGTTGGATGGTGACTGCCTCCAACTACCCAGTAGCGTCCTTCACGGGCCTCCTCCATAGAGGCCGATCTTAATCACTAGTACTAGTCTTCGGCAAGTCCACTCAGGTCCAGATCTTCTTGTACCGTTTCAGTCTATCTATTCTCCAGCTCGTGCCGTGCCCGATTAGCGCCCTCTACGCGGCCAAACAGAAGCTGCTTGGGCATGCGATGGCTGGGTATGCGAGCTACATGACCCAGCCAACGCAGCCTTGCCCGCCGGAGCTCACTGATGGGAATGTGTCTATAGCTTTCAATGATGTGAGCTCCTCATACAATCCAGCCTGGTTAAACCCAGAATGGATCGTATGCAGGCCAGCCTGACTGGTGCAGATGTTCCATTCGAGGGATCCACGTTTCACAAGCATAGAGGAGGGAGGGCATGAATTGGCTGAGAAGATCCAGAATTTTGTGTGGAGTGACAGACCAGGTAACTTCCACACAGCGTTACACAGCCGATGAAAAGATAATTCCGCCCGATTGATTCGGACTGAGACTTCTGCTGTCAAATCAGAGCTGTTTATAAGAACACTGCCCAGGTACCAAAACTTCTCCACTCTATAACTGCTCCATTACCCAAGCAGCAATTAACAGAACATTAGCATATATAACATGGTTGACCAATAGGGAGCCATCCCTTAATCGCAATCGGGCATTGGATCAGCTTCCCATTGTACCAGATGAATGTTCTCCTGAAGAAGCCATAATGAGCTTTCGAAAGTGTGGTTCAAGCAAATTTATTGACCAGCGAGCACTGGCGACCGGATGGCCGTCTGGAGGTCGCAAGTTCAAATCCTGGTTGTGGGGGTTGATTCAACCAATCATCATCCCTCCCCCTGGGTCAAAATAACGATATATGGGGAAGATCAAAGCGGTTGCCCGATGGATAGACTCACCCCCGCCAAAGGAATGTGGAATTTACAACACATGATCAGCGCTGTAAATTGCAGCTAAGCACCAACGTTCATATTTTTTTTATTGAGAACAAACACCCATAAATTGTCTGAAAACATCTCCTGAGAAGGAGTTCTCAGACTCAGCGTGGCTTTCCTGAATGAATGAATCATAATCGTTATTTATCCTGGAGAAATCCGATGAGCTATGAAGCTCTTGTTAACAGATGGTCCAGTAGGGGCACGGGGTCAGAAAGTTACAACAATCAATAGAAAACAAAGATAAGAGTGCAAAGTATAGGAAAGGTAAACACTAAAAAATGCATGAAATGAAACTAAACTATTTTTTTTTTTACCACAAGCGACCTGGCCACAAATGATAGCTCAACTAAGTGGTTTGTAATGTGGTCATTTATAGCAGCCAAATAATCTAAACGTATTTTTCTAAATGTGAAGGGTAAAACCAGAGGACCTGGATAAAACAATCCACATGACCACCGGGAGAATATGCAAACTCAAATATACAGGCGTCATGGCCGGAATTGAACCCATGACCTCCTGCATACCATGACAGGAAGATAACATCACACTACACAGTCCTTCAATAAATGTTCACGTAAAAATGTAACTTTCGATATATATGGGTAAGGATGAACGTTACAAATCACATCGGCAATCGCTGTCATTACAATATTACAATCACTCTTATTATAACCCAATTACTATAACACCAAAATCACTATCATAACACCACAATCACTAACCATTATAATACCACACTCACTATCATAACACAACAATAACTATAATGACTCCACAATCACTGTCCATATAATACCACAATCACTAACATCACACCGCGATGCTTGTGTAAGCAGGAACTCACTGACCATTTGACTCTAAAGTCCCTGACCTTGTTGTCCTCCCCCCTGCCCAACCTTCGACCCCCAGGCCACCCAGAGCCCGAGGTCCTGTGGTATCGTGACGATGAACAGCTTGACCGGTTCTGCGGGCTGCCCAAATATGAAATCCTGCGCGAGGGAAAAGTGCACACACTCAAGGTGTATCGGTTAGTGCGCCCTGCACGGCACACACCGCATGCTGCACACGCACAACACGCTCACACGGCACGCTCCACATGCACAACACACACACATGGCACATACACGTCACGTGACATATGTGCACTGCACATGCACAACACATACAACACAAACATGACACATACCACATCTACACTCTACACATGAAACAACACCTACACAACACACACTATATACACGCACAAACACACCTGCCTTAGACACGTGACCCATACACGCATGGCTGGATCTCAGGGAGATACAGTTGGAGTGGGAGGGGGGCGACAGTTCAGGGTCCATGGGGGACCTGTTTCCTTTGATAAGAGAAGTAGGGATGCTCACTTGCATCACTGGGTGGATGAACAACTCTCCCTTGATACGGTGACATGTAATTAGCCTGCGTTAACCTCGTCCACCAGCCCTCCAGTATCAAATAGCAGATCGCTCCTGGGGCTTTAAGTACACGCAGGGTCGTGCTGCTAACAGGCAGCGGCAAGGCTCAACGCACATCCACCTGACCCCCGCACTGCATGTCCAGTGCTCTCAGCCCTGGCAAGATTGGCCGTTTTCATCGATGAGGCCACTGACTCGAAGGGAGTCGACTAACGCGGCGGTCCCCACAGGCAGAATTAAAACACTGCGACAATGGCAGGAGGCACTGCACAAAATACACACACACATCGTGGCCCCTACAGACACGACGCCTACGCAACGATCCCCACTGGGCACACGCGTGGCAGCGAATCAGGGCAAAGCCACCAAACCCGGGCCCGGCTTCTCCCCCATGCCCACTTAGGTGCACGGAGGAGGACGCGGCCATCTACCAGGTGTCGGCGCGAAACACCAAGGGCATTGTGTCCTGTTCCGCCGTGCTGGAGGTGGCCACCATGAACGAGTTCAAGATCCACCAGCGCTGGTTCAACAAACTGAAGGCCAAGGCAGAGGCGCGGCGCTGCGAGGCCGCGCGGGCGCCCGGCAAGGAAAACAAGGGCACGGCAGCGCATGACGGCGTCACCCCGGCAACGACCGCAGCGGCCGGCACGGCGACCTCCTGGCACCGCAGCCCTGAGTCGCGGACACGCCGCAAACGCCGCTCGCCCGACCTCCGCAATCCATCGCCGTCTTCATCGCCGGCTTCGGTCCGTGCCGAGCGAGCGAGGAGCAGGGCCACCTCGTCGCCCAAGAGGGCGGCGCACACGCCGCATCTCGGCGGCTCATCTGAGCCTGGGGCCGGCCCTCCCACTGGGCCCCTTGCAGGGCGTGCATCTCCGCCCAAGCGGGTCGCGGGTCGTGCCGAGGCCCGCCAGGACGCGGCGGACGCAAAGCTCAACGGTTTCCACGGTGGGCCGGGCTCTGTAGACCGGGAGGCCTCGTGGAAGTCTGGCTCGGTGCGGGGTCGCGGCGATGGGTCCCACGGGGACCCAGACGATGGTGGGGACAGCGGTGGTGGTGGCGGCTCAGTGGTGTACATAATGGAGACGGTGGAGGAGATCATCACCACGCGCCCCGCACACAAACCCGACGCTGCACACTTTCAGAGGAGCAGGGCGACCGGGGAGTCGGCCGCCATCGTAACCCCGGTGAAGGTCGTGGATGAAGCAGAACAGCACGAGCGGCAGCGTGAGAAGCAGCCCGAGGAGGAGCGATCGCTGGACGCAAAGGTCCCAACAGTGGGCGAGTACCTGCGCGAGCTCCTACACGGCGCTCATGACGGGAGTGAGCCGAGCGACACATCCCAGCCCACCGAGCTGAGCGCCTCCGAGATGGAGTCAGAGAAAACGAGCGAGGATGACACGAGGTCTTCGGCGAGCACCACCCCCACGGAAGTGCTTGGCTTCTCCGCGTCTCCCGCACGGAGCCCCGACGACTTCGACACGGCGATGAGCACGGGCGGCACGGACGATGAGACCGGCGGTCACTTGGGGCGGATGCCGGCGAGCGAGCCTCTGTTCTCGCCGGCGTCGCGCCCCAACGCTGTGGACAGAACCACAGCCAATACGAGCCCAGGGCAGGGCACAACTGACGTGGAGAGCGATGCGTGCGAAGATTTATATGACACGGCGGATGAAGAGAGCGCCACATCTCCTGACTACAGCTCAGAGGCCGTTGACTCCTCGTCGGACGTGACAGAGGAGTTCGGGGACTCATACTACACGCTGTCGGATGGCCTCCCCTCACCCGACTCGGACCGCACGGAGACGCCACTCTACTTCTACTCGCCCAATGAGACACCCCTGCCGAGCGACGACACGGACACGGCCTCCAGTGGCGGTTGTTCACCGCCCGCGCCTCATTCTCCACCGGTGACTCCAGCGTGGCCCTGGCCAGCACTGACACCAGCACGGAGGCCAGCAGTGGCTCCGGTAGGAGCAGTAGCCTTCTGGGCAGCCTGGCCTACCTGGCAGGCAGCCCCGAGGCTGCGGGCATTGCTTGGAATGCGCGCGCAAACCGCGGGTCAAGTGACGATGGCGCTTTGCGCGTCGCAGGCACGAGGCGGCAAGGGGCGGCGCCGCGGCCGTTGCAAAGCGCCGGCCTCAACCTGCCGCTGATCCCGCCCCCCCCCGCGCTGCTGCCAGTTCCACGGTCACCGCGACAGCAGCCAGCGCAGTCACCGGTGGAGTACTACGTGGTGGAGGGCCCGCGGCGCCGTGCCACGCCAGGGCCCCACGGGAGGGTGCGCCGTGACGAGTACTTCCAGACGTCGGGGCCCAAGCCCGCCGCCAGACTCCCCGGAGGCTGCCATGATGCTGCTGCACCGGAGCCGGTGGGCGCCTGGAGGCTTCGTGCAGGTATGACGTTGATGACGGTGATGATTATTATTCGTACTTGGTTATTGGGTTAAGCGACGTAATCTGGATATATTTCTGTTGAAAAAACCTTCCACCACCTGACACATATGAACCTTTATCCATTTCGAGACATCCGGTCACCACTGAATCTCGGAACACGAAAGCGGTTAGCATTAATTTTATTTAGAGAGCGATAGCGCCGATGTCTTAAAGACACTGTAATCACCGCAGAGAACTGTAGTGTCACAGTCACACTCTATGATAGCTGGTGGCAAACTCTGCCGCATGCCCTCCTGCATGGCCTGTGGGAACCTTGGTGCTGATAAAATAATTTTTAATTTTAGTTTTTCTTCCGATTCCATTCTGTTGACTTACACGTACGTCATTCGAACAGAATCGGAAAAAAAACTCACCAATGTACATGAATGTAATTGGAATGGGAAGGATTAAATTGTCACTTGTGGATAGTAGGCCAAACAAGGGAGGTCCCTGTGTGCCAGCAGTGTTGTTAGCAGCCACTAGCAGGCCTGCACCTTCACATTTTCTGAATATGAATGTCGTCACCAACAACATCACGAGTACAAAGGCTATTGTGCAAATGAACGCTCTATGATAGCTGGTGGCAAACTCTGCGCATGCCCTCCTGCATGGCCTTGTGGGAACCTTGGTGCTGATATAAAATAATTTTTTATTTTAGTTTTTCTTCGATTTCATTCCGTTGACTTACACGTACGTCATTCGAACAGAATCGAAAAACAAACTCACAATGTACCATGGCAATGTAATTGGAATGGAAAGGATTATTAAATGTCACTTGTGGATAGTAGGACGCCAACACAAAGGGAAGGTCCCTGTTGTGCCACCGCAGTGTTGTTAGCAGCCACTTAGCAGGCCTTTGCCATCCTTCACATTTTTTGCTGAATATGAATGTCATTCAACCTAACCACATCACGAGTACCAACCGCTATTTGTGCAAATGAACGCTCTATGATACGCTGGTGGCAAACTCGCCGCATGCCCTCCTGCATGGCCTTGTGGGAACCTTGGTGCTGATAAATAATTTTTTATTTAGTTTTTCTTCCGTTTCATTCCGTTGACTTACACGTACGTCATTCGACAGAATCGAAAAAAAACTCACAATGTACATGAATGTAATTGGAATGGGAAAGGATTAAATTGTCACTGTGTGGATAGTAGGCCAAACAAAGGGAGGTCCCTGTGTGCCAGCAGTGTTGTTAGCAGCCACTAGCAGGCCTGCACCTTCACATTTTCTGAATATGAATGTCGTCACCAACCACATCACGAGTACAAAGCTATTGTGCAAATGAACGCTCCCTGCCGCAGGCTCCACACCCCGGTGTGGCAGACGCCCATCACGAGGGGGGCCGTCGGGACGTGGTGGTGGGAGGGGGGCATACCCTCGCCCCCAACAGTGGGCAGGGCGGGCAGCCAGCGCCCCACATCCTCCCAACTCAGCACCGACTCAACGGACGACACGTGCTCGTACGCTCACATCACATCGCCACTCGTGTGGTCCCTCCGAGGACTCGTCCAGCACCCCAGAGACGGAGCCCGACCTGTGGCACCCCGTGGAGGAGGGCCCCCCCGTCGAGCCGGGGCCTCCCGCGGAGCGGGCACCCCCTTCGGGGCCGGGGGTCCCCTCGGAACGAGCGATGCCGGAGATGCGAGGGAGCGAAATGAGGCCGGGTGGCGCGATGACGGATGGGGGCATTGGCCCGCGTGCCAACATCGGCTCGCGGAGGCCGGCCGGAGAAAGCAGAGTTGATGAGCAAGGGGCTCGTGGGAAGAACGTTTGCCATTTGGCCAACGTGGAAACCTCCGACAAGGGTTTACGAGTGGAGGGAGATCATGACGGCCAGCAAGTGCCCGTCCACGCCGCAGTGGCCACCAGGGCCGGGGGACAGAAGGCCGTGGCCGGAACCGACCCTGCAGCGGAGCGGCCGTCGGCTCCTCACTCCGGGGCGGGCGGTGCCACACGTTGTGAAGTTGCCAACACAGCAGCCAACGCCGTCAGCGCGGCCAGCGCTGGAGAAATGGGCGCAGTGGAGTCGGACATTTACCTGGAGAACTTGGGACGGGAGAAGCAGCGAGCAGACAGAGGTGGGGAGAACGCAGGGATACCGAGTGGAGGAAAGAGCAGCGTACGCGCTGACTCCTCGGTCTTCGTCTTCAAACTCCCCAAGGTGCCACTGGTGGTGATGGAGCGAGCGGTGGAGGAACAAGGGAAGGCCGAGCGCGAGCGGCAAGTGAGTGCCGCACCCCCTACGCAGTGGCCTCGCCAGGCCGAGCCAAAAGACTACCTCGTCGTCGCTCAACAGGAGGTGGCGGCCGACGCTGACTTGGCAGTGCCCCCTGAGGAGCCCCTGGTCGACCGCGGCAAGGGTGGGGATCCACCTGTGAAGGGAGATGGAGCGGATGAGAAACCCAGACTTACGGAATCCGCCGAGGTCAGCGGCGATGTGGGCGAAGACGTATCTGCAGAGAGGCCTGGAACGGATAACGCCAGTGAGTTGCATGCCACACCAAAATC